TTTGCACCCTCAGATTCCAGATTTTCAAATAGTTGTATCTCGGCCAAATATTGTCCTATCCTAACAAACCACACAACAATGGAAAGCGTGTTTATTCAGCTTCAGATGATGTATAAAACTCAATTTCAAAAATTTGACCCTTATGACTGGTTTTGTGGTCCAGGGTCACATTTGGGTAATATTCCACAGCGTTTGTGTGTGTGGTCTGAAACAGAATTTACTGCACATCTCAAAGTAACTTTAATAGTTAAAAATTTTCCAAGAAAAAAAAAAAATAAATAAATAAATATATATATATATATATATATATATATATATATAATTACATTTTTTGCAGTAATCTATGGATGTTCCTAGATAAAAAAAGGAAACAATTAATGTTCAATTTCTTCCTAAAACAAATTTAACAAAAAAAGAGGCTGATATTGACCTATAAATATTGTTGACACAATTGGCATCCCTAGGTCTAAATTTTTACAGAATAATTTTTTATACAAAATATATTATAGAACTTAGAGTAGCACAATATTCAATTTTTGAAAGGAATGAAAACGAGGCTGTAAGTGTCAGAAGTAGTGCATTCAATCGATGGTCCTGTTGTTTAACAACATGATTGTTCAGCTGACGAAACATCTTTCTGAAAAAAAAAAAAGTTCAGTAGACAAAAACTAAATCTGAAAGATGAAAAAACTAATCTGAAACAAATCAGAAAATTACATGCTCTGGGATATCTATACAGTGCGTGCCATTGTAAAGACTAAGTCTACACCTCACAGCCTTGTTTACATCCACGTTAAATTTAGCATGCCGTCTGAACAGATTAAGGTTTATTGCTTTTGATTAAATGGGGAAATATGACCTAAACATTCTTTACGAGATTCGCCTTTTAACTCTTTAGACACAGAAACCCTCAGACAAGTAACTGAACTGCGACACATCTGTATTGTGCAATACGTTTAAAGCAGTGATTCCTTTAGTCAGTGTAGTATGAGTATACATCACACATTTATTAGTGAGCAACCCTCTCAGCCACAATTAAAAAAAAAAATATGATTGCACTACTCAGTAAAGCAGAACTTGCAACTTTCATTTAAAAAAAGTACAAATCTTAAAAATTTCAATCAGTATACAGATGTATTTATAATACACTATAACTAGTTATATGTTAAATGCTACAAACAATGATTCCAATGGAATGAAAAAAAATTATAGCATTAAGAACCATTTCCTATATATAATATATATATATTAGCTTTTTTATTTAATTTTTTTTTGTATTGTTTTTTTTTTTTCCAAATACAAACATGGCAAAAATGAGGTAACTGTAAATGTGCAAGTACCAAAGCAAAATATCTTCCTAACACAGAACACATGCCCCTGGCCCTGTTGTTGGCTGGGTAGTCTGGAGTTCAGGCAATGACTGACCCCTAAAGGCCAGGAGGAGAATAGAACAGTAAACAATCCACTATCCCACCACAGCAAGAAATCATTGGTAAACAATCAGTGGCGTCTATGGAGCAATCAACAAATCACAAATCCTAAAGTATTTAGCTGCTTATTGGAACACAATTTTCCACCACACAAGCTGTGAGATTATTTATTAGTTGAATCACAGAAAGACTACAAGATTCTATTTCATCAGAACTCATAGGGTTTTTTTTTTCTTTTCTCTTTAGTAATTCAATACAGGTAACACTGAGGTTTTCAAGGAATCTTGGTTATTATGAAAAATTCCTTTATAAATCTAAATAAGGATATATTAGAAATAGCCCACAGCCGGTTACCCCAAGCAAAAGTGCTTGCGTGTATATCAACAACTTATTTTTAAACCATAACAGTTACAGATGCTCAAGGTAGAGAGAACCGTACAACAGGTACATATATTTCTGACCGTTTTGGTGAATGAGTGATAACGCCGTGCTTTTCAACCCACACGAAACCTCCTACTACTTTGATTTATTAAGGCAGATGTATTGAATCTGATCACTCGGGCAGTAAAACAATATTATTCTTTAAAATGGTCTACCAGCGCATACAAGTAAAGCTAAATAGTTTTCTTTTTTTTTCTGTTTGTTTTCTTAATTGAAACCCCTGTTGATAATGTTATTAACTGTTTCTGACCACCGTGAGTGTACTAGTAGCACTGCATGCTGTATGAATAGAGACCCATAACAAACTATTGCATTCTCTTATGTGAATGTAGCATTACACCTAAATACAGAATATCTAGCACCTTTTTTACTATACGGCTTTCCATTATCTAGATTCCAGGCAAGTGTGTCAGTAACTGAGGCAACAATAGAAGCACGAATGTGGTGAGGAGCCTATCAAATCGTATTTTTCCACTTCAAAAAACCACTGACTTCCCACTGGCATCAAGCTTAACGTTATTTTAAATGTCCTATATTATTATTCTGAATTTTTTTTTCTTTTGCAAGTACAAGCACAATAAAATCTTGTAGTCATTCGGTTCTATTACAAATGTGTGCAGTACAGCGCATGGCAGTTATCAGCTGAGCAGAAAGTCCTCTACACCCAGAACCCAAAGCCAACTAAATCTACCTAAAAAAAACAGTTGGGACCTGGTTAGACATGCATGCATATTATGCACAATTAAATACTTGCCCACCCGTCTAGATCTCTTTCACTGAAAATACAGATTTCGTTTATTTGACCTTTTTTTCTTTTTTTTTGAATCCTTAAATCATGCAAACACTGTAAGAATAGTCTTGGAAGTGGTCTAGGTAGGACAGTGTGCACCGTGGCACGTTTTTCAATGGTATTACAACCTTTATGTGTGGTTCAAGTACAAGAACACGGAAAAACGCAACAGCTGCAAAACAGGTTCGAGTAACATATACGCTAATGATCGGCTGCAGTGACGAAAAGCCTATTCTCACTCGATACAACATGTCACTTCATTTTTTTTTTTCTTTGCATGCCAGTCTTAAAATGGAATAATATTCACCACTATTTATAAAAGGAATATTAGTTCAAGTTGATTACATTTAAAATAAGCATGGCCTGAGGAAAACAACCCAGAATACCCAAATATATCTCCATGGCATCAATCCCATTTGAAATGGACTGTTTTCCTTTATTTTTCAATTACAGAGAGGCCC